GTGGCATTTGTAAGATTTGGGAACCATAGACGAGCTGGAATTTAAGGGCTCTGCTGTGTGGCATTCTAAGAACTCGTACCTGGGATAATTTGCCCATTACACTTTTCCTGTAGTCTTCTAAGGTGTTAATTAACAGCCTGATGCTTTTTCTCAGTCTTTCAATGGATTCTTGATACAGTACTTGTTGGAGGTACAGAAAGGTTCAACAGAAAGCAGAGTCATATTGGAAACCTGGACAGGAGAGCTGCGCTTTAGACGCTTTAGCACTCTCAGGTAGATGAGCTTGTTTGTGTCACTATGCTTTTGCTACATTTCATTTAGAAAAAGGAAATTATCCCAGTGCTCTGTCTGTTATAGTGAATTGTGACAAAGTTGAATAAACAACACGTTTCATTTTAAAGTAATCTCTGGTCATCTAAATTAGTAATAGTAAAGCATCAATATGTGAAATCTCTCAGAGACATGAATTTATTATAAGTCAGAGAAAGTTGTGATTGTCATTTTAATCACTAAAATAAAGCTAGGGATATATCTCAGGGGCACAAGTGCCTGCCTGGCAAGTGTGAGGTCCTGAGTTAGATTCCCAGTACCAAAAATGAAAAATATCATTAAAATATTTCTCTAAGACCCAATCTGCAAAGTTCACAAGACTGAAGATGCTATTTTTATAATAAATCTTCAGAAAAAAATATAATTCTCTCTTTTAAATTTTAATTTTTAAGAACAAAATAGCATTAAAAAAGAAAAAAATTAAAGTGATACAGAATTTCACTTAACAAAATAATATGAATTTCATAGTATTCATTGTAATGCATAGTATTGTCTTCCAACTAACTGTTCAGATTACCAGATATATGCATGTGAAATTGGAAGAAGGAAGAAAAAAGAAAGAACTATATAAGAAATTAAAAAGAGAAAAAGGTCCAAGAATTGAAAAAAGGAGACAAACAAATTAAGCACTATCTGCTCTTTTCCATAGACCAGCATAAATCCACAGTACAGTTGTCCAAACCATCCTGCTTGCATAAATAGATATATCTCTTCCCCCACTCCCTTTCCTGTCCTAAACTCAGTAATTCCTTCCTTGTAAATAGGCTCATTTCCTGTTCCCAGCATTTATTGTATCCTTCAGGTTTTCTCTCTAAGTAGTTTCTGTTCTTACAAAATTCTAGGATGAAAACATAGTTTAAGTCAATAATTTTTGACATTGCCAGTTAAACAGAAGACCCAATGCTATTATGGGCTACTGGACTCTTTTAGAATATTTTGCTGAGTTTATACACCTATAATATTCAATAACGGAACTTAGAAAAAATGGGGTATACCGATGAATGTCCATTTTGTATCTGTGTATTCAAAGTGGTTAGGATAGATATATAGTTGCATTCTCTTAATGAATAGAATGATTTGTTCTAATGGTGTTTGTAAATAGGATCTCAAGTCTGCATCTTGTACAGCAATTAACCACTAAGAAGAATATATGCAGCATATTATTTGTTGAAACTGTACTTCCAATTTGATTTGAAACTGTCTCATTGCTATCTGTTTATCAACAAAATTTTGAAAAAAATAAGTAAAAAAATTAATAAAAAATAAAGAAAAATGATGACAATAACAATAAAAAAGGAAACATAGTTTAAATTAAATTAACCAATGTAAGTGGGCCTGTATACTAAGACTTGAACACACACACACACACACACACACACACACACACACACACAGAATCCAAGAAGCAATAATGAGATGTGAGCAGTAAGCGTACTCCAAATGAAAGGCAATGTGTCTTTTTGAGCTGGATGACATTAATTATCAAAGATTTGGCAGAAGTATGCTCTCTCTAATTGCATGAAATTAGTGAATTGACATTTCTGAAAATGGCAGTGATTGAGGCTGCATAATGCCATGAAATACCCTCCTACAAGGAAGCTGTTCTGGTGGTTTACTGTTTATCCCTGAAAACTCTGCACTCGTGCTATTTCTACGGCAACTGTTTCTGTGTGAATTCCATATTTAAGGAGCATAGTGATGTTAGTTTATAGCCACCTGCTTTTTGCTATTGAAATTTATGAACATAGTAGCCATTAAGTTAAGCACAAGATGTTTTTCCAACTGAGAGCAGAACAGTGAAATTACAAACAAAAGATATTTGGAAAATTTCAGAAGTAACTTTCAGTACAGTAGAGATAATTTTCATGAAAGAAATAAAGGTGATTGACGTATGTCTATCATAGATGTTTGTAAGGATGCAAAATGAGGGTGATGTCTTATCAACACTGTGGTTATGAGACCCTGCTGCAGTTGTTTTCAATTCAAACTTTGAGCTGAATTTGTTTTCCTTAAGACATGAGTAGTCATTTTAGAATTTCTCTTGCCATATTCCCAGGATCTAATAAATTGATTGTTCTTAGGAACAATGTAACAAAGCACTGTCGAATGTATTTTTTAAAAGAAGATCTTTAGTTTCAAATATGATCAAAATATACTTAACATTATACTATGCTGCCTTAAAGTATAAAATGATCACATTATTACATTAATTTAATAGACTATTACATTTTCACTTAATGTCCTATATGAATAGAAACACAGCAAACTGAAGACAAAAGGTCTCACTTAATATTTTTCTCTACTAACATTAAGACTGATTTACTCAAAGTAAGTATGACTTTTGAGAAAACCTGGTTGAATGATGAATGAAATGCCTTACTAAACCCTTACCAATTTGCTTATTCAGAATGTTCATATTTATGAACTAAAGCTAGTAACTACATTAGGCATAAATATTACATTAAAAAATAATGTTATATATAAAGTTCATTTTAGAGAATCACGCCTACCAAAGTTCATTTATTTTATTCTAATTAACAACATAGGGCCTGGGAAATAGCTCAGTTTGTACAATGCCTGCCTGGCAAATGCAAGGTCCTGAGTTCATTTCTTGATACCAAAATAAAATAATATAGAATAAAATGGCATATTTGCTGGTGGTAAAGTATTGACTAAAGTTAATAGTGTTCTGGCATTCCAACTAAAGCTAAAAGAATTATTCTCTCAAAATCCAGAAGAATTTTCAAGTTGTTGATATGCAACTTAGTTACCACATAGTTATGTGTACAACTATAATAGATTATCCAAAGAACCCTCATAACTGATGACTTAGAGTACCTCCATAATAAGATATTTATGCGGATATGTATGGATTTATACATCACTCAAACAGAGCACTTACTCAAAAACAAGTGGAGCATAGTGTACAACGAAAGACTTATGCTATGCATTACAGAAAATGCAAATTTTCCCCTTATGTAGGTGAAGATTTCCTTAGGAAAGACACCATGTTCATTTTATGATTAAAAACAAAATTTTTATTTGACTTCCTTGCAAAGGACATAACAAACTTATAAAACTGAAATCTCCAGAAGATTTTTGAATCTAGCAGTTAATTGGAAAGATTCTCACCCTGACTAACTATATATACTGATACCTGTAAATTAAGCTACTGCATTGCAGATGGTAATCTGTAATAGTAGGTTCATGCTTGGAGTGCCTGTCATTCTGGTCTTCTGAATACGGGCTGCTTGTCATGACATGCCAGTTGCTGCTATGAAGTCCCTTGGGTAGATGGTTGTTCAAAAGAAGGGGGTGGTGAATGAAGACAAGCGACAGGAAAAGGAATGTTGTGGGACTGTCCTGCTTCAAGGTTGTATATGGTTAGATTTTTGGACTTATGTGTAAACATAAGAAACATAAGAATTATATAATTTTTTATGCCTATTTTAAAAAATATATTCTAATTTTAAATGTTTTTTCATCATATTCTGTAGGGACTTAAAGTTCAACGTATCAATACTTGATGAAAAATGCCTGTTCCATGTTATGCTTAAGATATTAGATATTCAGACAGATAGTGAGGTTAAGCTTAACAGCCCAAGTTGTATGGTAATAACAATAAGCTTGTCTTCTGGATGGTTAACAAACTAAGTTTGCAGACCAAAATTAGAGAAAAAGGAGGGCCACAAGGAGAGTCATTATTTTGGCCTTAGCCTTCCAAGGTCAATTAAGACTCAAGACATATGAGAACCTGTACTGTAACATCATGTAATTCGGTAGTGTGCCAAATTTTCTGATCAAGAAGATTATGGGCTAGAGAGGAATGTGATCAATGATGTAGAGTGTGCCTAAGGAGAGTCACATGGAGAGAAAACATTCTCTCAGGCATTCACAGAGAACACATTGGCCAAGCAATGGCCGTGACTCATCCACATGGCTGACACTGACAAAGATTCTACAATCTGAGGTACAGGATCTCAGGATAAATCCTGAGAGGATTTGACTGACCTTATCAGATACAAAAGTTAAAATACTTGTTACATAGCTTTACCTTGGTCTTAACCATCTAGCAGAAAAATATAAAAAGGAAGTATAAGAAGTAAAGCCATGCTGTTATGTTGAGCTGTAGGGGACTCAGGTCAACAATTTCTGACATTCCCAGTTAAGTGGAGGACCCAATACTATTATGGGCTACTGAACTCCTTTAGAATATTTTACTGAGTTAACATACCTATAATACTCAAATAACGGAACTTAACAAGAAAAGGGGATACAGATGAATGTCCATTTTGTATCTGTGTATTCAAAATGTTTAGGATAGATATATAGTTGCATTCTCAATGAATAGAGGGATTTGTTCTAATAGTGTTTGTAAATATGATATCATGTCTGCATTTTGTACAGCAATTAACCACTAGGAAGAATGTATGCAATGTGTTAATTATTGAAACTGTCCTACCAATTTGGTTTGAAACTGTCTCATTGCTATTTGTTGCTCAATAAAATTATGGAAAAAAACCTGAAATTAACATAATTCCTTAGATAAAAAGATGTCAACTGGTGCCACCTTTGCAGTAACGTTGACTTCCTCATGAGTCCATTCTCTGCAGTTCTCTAGCCACGCTCCTCTTATTACTGACCACAAACCCCTTTCATGCTTATTCCAGGTTTGGACAAAGTGCCCACTGATCTCCCCCCCGACACGACGCTGCTGGACCTTCAAAACAACAGAATAACTGAAATCAAAGATGGAGACTTTAAGAATCTGAAGAATCTTCATGTAAGAGCAATTTTACTATTTAGTAATAATAATATACAGCTCAACACAGTTTTCAAAAGAAAAAAACCTAGTGAAAACCAAAAGTACTTATAACAATTAGTCAATGCATTTATGTTTACAGAACCATTTTTCTAAGATGTTGTAGAATTAACCAGGAATAAAACAATCTAGTGTAGCTGCATATAATCCAGCTATCGTATCTGCTCTAAATCATTGTATCACCATCATTTTTTCTCTGTGAACAGTGAATGTGAATTTTTAAATATAATTGTGTGCTTATTTATAGTTTTTATTTAAACTATTAAATATAATTATATATATTTAGGCTGTACTTCAATAGTAGAAAACATGCAACAAATAAATATTGGTATTATTTTCTTTCTTTGTTCCTTTCATTTATCTTCTAGAGAAGTTTATTTTTTTGTTGTTTTTGTTTTTGTTTTTTTGTTTTTTTGTTTTTTTTTGGCTGGCTCAGGCTGCCTTAAGGGAAGGTCTAGTGTGACATGTGGAGCTGGGGATTGAACCGTGGTCCCCTGTGCCTGCCTGAGTTTGTTGAAACAGGCACTTTAAATAACTGAGCTAACCTGAAAGCCACCTCTTTCATTTATTTTCTAAGAGAGCTGTGAATAGCCTTCGTAATTCTCAAACATTGGTACTAATACAACAGAAACCATCATTAATTTTATACGTGTACCTATACTCAGGAATGTATCTATGATTTTGTGTGCTTTACCCTGAACTGTCCTTTTACTTTGATTTTCCTTTATATGAAAGGTCAGTTTTTAAAAATGTATTTGATACAGCGTCTCACTGCAGCTCAGACTCATAGTGAACCTCTTGTTTACATTCTCCTCTGTGCTTGGATTATAGGCGTGCACAACTATGCCCAGTCTAGGCAGCCAGTTCAGCATGCAAGAGGTTGGGAGACAGCGTGGCTGTGGTTCCCAGGGATCAAACCCCAGTCCCTGCACTTGCCTAAGCAGGCACTTAGCCCACTGAGCTATCTCACAGGCCCTTAATTTCCCCTTGTCTATATTACAATGTTCCATTTACTGGGGGGAATTCTATCAGAAAAAAAGAAGTTACTCCAATGGCTTTCTTGGAGGAAATTTAATAGAAAAGAGTCTTTGCTTAGGGGAATTGAAACCAATAAAGCACTAGGAAGAATCCTGATTAAGAAGTCCTAAAAGCCTGAAGTAACTAGGAAGTCCCACAGCTATGGAAGAAAGAACAGCTCTTGGCCTGACTCTTTCTTCCTGCCAATGGCTCCTCTGGCTGATCCTACTAAGGGGGAAGAGGAGGGCACCAGGTTGATGCAGTACCTGGAACTCAGCTTCTCATGACATAAAGGAGACCCCAAAAGGAAAATGCATGTATAAAACTGTAGCTGGGGAGAAGTGTGTCCAGCCCAATCAAGTAGGTGTAAGCCTTCTCAGGCAGCCTTCTGTAGAAGTCAAGTCAGTGTCTGCTGACATGGAGCACCAGGTTTATAACATGAGATAAGTATGTGGTACTTTCCCCTCAGAATATTCGTGCATATGTAGCACCAACAAGCCAGGCTTCAATCTAAAGGTAGCCTATGAACATCACACTGTGTCTTGTTCCACTCCTGGAATGCTCTTGGACTATTGGATCCAGTCCTTGGGAAGGCAGGTTAGTAATAGCACTAGAGACCAACCAGAGAGAGATGGCCCTGTGGAGGAGCAGGCTGGCATCCTACGGGCACACTAACAGAGACGAAGCTACATTGAATGCAAAAGAACAGTTAGTGGCATGCAGAGGGCCATACTGGAGGAAGGGAATTGGGTTTACTGTCTTCAGCCACAAGAGATAGTAGAAGTAACTATCCTAGTGAGAAAAAAAATCCAGGAAAGCATATTTTCAATATCAAAAGTGCAATTTGAAAAAATAAAGTTTTTATCAAATAGAATTTTCTAGTGATATGAGGCCCATCTGTGGAGATTAGTTCTTGGGTTCTTTCAATGTGTTTCATAGAAATACAGTTTTGAGGTAAGAATCATGAGAATGGTAAATTTTAATTTCGCATTCATTTAATTCTAGTGAAGTATAGAAAATATCGAGGAGCTGTACAATAAGAATAAATAATATGCAATAAACTATAAAAATAAATCATTTATGTATATATGTTAGAATCAGAAATACAGATATAAGACTTCATAAAACATAAAAGACAATACATTGGCCAAGATATAATTGCTATAGTGAGGATAAGATTTAGACGTGTGCCTTCTGACCACTCAAATGAGGAAAGCAATAAATATTTAGTCAGCAGAAAAACATAGACTAGATTGTTAAAGAGATCAGGTGGGTTTTTTTTTTTTTTTCTTTCCTAAGACTTTAAGGTTTCAGAGGGAATGGCTGAAAGGAAACAAAATGTAGGTAAAGAATTTGTGGTCAATTTCCAGTAATACAAGCAATCCGATAAAATTGGTAAGTGCTAAAAGTGAGAGATCAATTAGACACTGTCTTATTTCAGGTTACCAGGCAGTGTTTTGAAAGAAAATAGGGTAAAGTATTTTAGATTAGGACTAAAAACAACAACAACAAAAACAAAACAAACAAGCAAACAAACAAAAAACACAGAAAAAAGAGACCTTTCTGTGTAAGAAGAGAGTAAAGACAGAAAAAAGCAAGCATCAGACAACAAACAACACAAGCTGACTCAAAGAAAACCCAAGTGGTGAAAGGTGGAGGAGACCGCTTAGCAAAAGATGCTCAAGTAGGCCCAAGCACCGATGCCGCTGCCCTGTGGGAGGAGTCCGGGGTTCCCCTCAGCGACTCTCTGCTTTCTTCTAGGGCGTCAGTGGCGATGGGCCAATGGCCAGACTTAAAGGGCTTGGCAGGGGTTTTTTAAACCATCATTGGAATACATTTAAACAGTTGCTGATAAAGAAGGAATATTATTTTTGTTAAATATTTTGAAAAGTTTCTTTTTATTTGAATAAACTTATCCAAAAGCTGCTTTTATAAGGAAGGGAAACTCCCTTATACTAATCTCAGCTTCCTCTGCACTTAAGTACACTCTGAAGAATATTTTTAAACTCCTGTATCCCTCAGTAAGAACCACTTCATTTCTGCATGTTTTTCTTTAAATCCAGTGTGGGTAATAACGTGTTCTTTCTTTCCCCAAGTTCCCTCCAAAAACATTCCCAGGCAGCCATAATCTTGATTCCTTTGTTTCCACATCAAAGTATACATAGAAAGAAGGGAAAGAGTTTATTAGAGCTTCTGACCAGGCAGAGGATGTTAAGTAACTGATTTTCCCTCACCCTTCCATTCCTGATCATTTTGATCCTTGTTATTATGCAAACAAACATCATAATTTTGGCTAGGAATGCTGCATTTCGATGAGAAGGAAGGAGAAATGAACAATTAGTAAGGATTAAAACAAATGTTTCAGCAAAAATAAAATGTCTTTGTTGTCTACTAGTTGTGCTAACGTACAATGTCATGGCTCCATGTGAGCAGTTGCAGAGTAAAAGGGATTAAATTTTTAAAGAGTGGGAAGACTGTGTTTCTATACACACTGACACTGAAGGGTGGCAGTGCTAGTGTTCAATATTTTTCTTTACAATTTAAGGCTTAATAAATCTAGGTATGGAGGATTTTTTTAAAATTAGAAAATAACAAAAATTGTCAACAACTGAATAACAATAAATACTTGTTTAGCAGTTTCTGTATACAAGGCAGTGTTTATAGTACTTTAGATGAATTAATTTTCTTGATCCTTGGAATTAGTGTTAGTCTTAGGCAGTAAGGTACTCCCTATCTTCTTTATACAGAGAGAGAAATGTAGGGACAGAGAAGCTAGAGGCTCATAATCCCCCAGCTGCAAGAGTTTGCATGCAGCCACTCAGGACCAGGCATTTACACTAACAATGGCCTATAAATATGTGAATAAAAGAATCCCTTAGCATAATACCTGGTGTAGTATAACCTCCACAGTAGAGGCCGGGGAGGAAAACATAGCTGTTAAAACTAAGAGTCCAGCATTTATTGATAAAACAGATTCTTCTGTGCAGGTTTTAGGTATATTTAAGTATACTAAGATTTCCAAATTTAACTCCAGAGGGGGCAATCTCCTTTTCATCTTTCATTTTTTATCATTTAGTGTTCATGACAAGCTACTCCATGCAGGTCACCCTTTACCCCTCTAGCTAGGGTCTTCAGTCGTTTCTCCACTGTCTTCATTGTTAGCATCAACTTTCTTAAATCTCATAAGGTTTTGTAATATTTATTAGAACCTCTTCTACTTGAACTTTTTAGAAATTTATTTATTTATTTATTTATTTATTTATTTATTTATTTAGTGGCCGGCTCAGTCCTGGTGGGGCTGGCGCAGCCTGTGGTGCCAGGGATCAAACCACGGTTCCTGCGCTTTGCCTAAGCTTACCTAAGCAGGCGCTTTAGACTGCTGAGCTAACTTGTGGCTCCCCCCTCTTAGAATTTTAATCCAACAATCATTTTGAATTAGATTAAAAGACTGTGTTACTCTTAATAAATTTTAGTACATCAAATGAACTCCATGACAACAAAAGTGAATGAACCATTTATTGCCTTTAGAAAGTATTATTCTTGGGCTGGGGAGATGGCTCAGTAGAATAAGTGCTTCTTCCCTGGCAAGCCCAAGGCCTGAGTTCAAATCCCTGTTGCACAAAAAAAGAAGAAGAAGAAGAAGAAGAAGAAGAAGAAGAAGAAGAAGAAGAAGAAGAAGAAGAAGAAGAAGAAGAAGAAGAAGAAGAAATTATGCACATTTCCTCAAGGATAACTGTTAAAATAAGGACTTTTTTAAAGAACATGGATTACTGGAATAGAATTAAGAAGTTGACATGTACATCTACCAATATGTATAGTGGTAACAATTATGACTTAAAGGAAATTCCTCATATTGGGAGAACATAAAAACAAAAACAAAAACAAAACAAAAAACCCCCCAGAAACCTCACTAAAACCACTAAGATGTTTGTCATGTAAAACTTTCCATTACAAAAAGAAGGCTGGTAGAAAACCAGAAGAAAATACAGTAAGGTTCTTTATGTCATATTAACTATGTTCTGTGAATTAGTTATGAAATATATTAAAATTTAATGAAATAAATAGTATACTGGGATACTGGGCCTGGTAGAACATTCCTGTAATCCTAGCACTTGAGAGGCTGAAGCAGGAATCATGAGTTCAAGACCAGCTTAAATTACTTACTAAAACTTCTCAAAACTGCATCAGAGAGATGGGACAGAGAGAGAGAGAGAGAGAGAGAGAGAGAGAGAGAGAGAGAGAGAGAGATTCATCAGGGAGCAATCTCTCCAAAAAGAAAAATAATAATGGAAATAAATAGTAAGACTGGCTGGGGAGATAGCTCAGTCGTCTAAGCACCTGCCTGGCGAGCACAAGGACTTGGGTTTGATCCCTGGTACTGCGTACCATGCCGGCCCTGGAGTCCTGGGCTTGCTGTGCCAGCCACTGAAACTGGGCATGGTGGCAGAACCCTGTAATCCAGCACTGGGTAGGCTGAGGCAGGAGGATCACTATGAGTCCAAGCTGCATAACAAGACCCTGCATCAAGTGAATAAATAAATAAGAAAAAATAGTAAGAAAACAAAAGAAAATTAGTTTCATCTTTTGATTGACAAGGATATCCAAATAAAGCAGTGAACTAGAGCATAATCAGTATCAACTACAGAGTTCTATAAAAGACATAACTTTTTGTGAGGTTATAGAAAGATCTGAGTCTCTTGCAGTGCTGGTGGTAGTGCGCATCCGCGTTGGCAGTTTCTGCACAGGAATTTGTAACAATAGCCAGTGGAGACAGACTGCCAGATTGAACAAACCACAAGAAGCACGTAACACTGACTGTTTGTCCGTATCTTGGGCCGTAAGAGTTATTCAATCTTTAGGAATATTTATTTTTGAAAAATATATACAAATGTCAGATGTGTGAAGTAATGAATTGCATTTGCTTATTTTTTTTCTTTTAAATTTCTTAATCTGTACTTTCTTTTCCCCCATCTTTCTCCTCTTTCTCTCACTCGGTTCTATAAATGTACATTTACGAAGATGAAAGCAGAAGATTTTATACTTCTAAAAGGTATTTTTGTTTGCTTGCTATCTGCAGGCATTGATCCTTGTTAACAACAAAATTAGCAAAATCAGCCCTGGAGCATTTGCACCTTTGGTGAAACTGGAGAGACTTTACCTATCCAAGAATCATCTGAAAGAATTGCCCGAAAAAATGCCCAAATCTCTTCAGGAGCTCCGTGCCCACGAGAACGAGATCACCAAAGTGCGGAAGTCTGTGTTCAACGGAATGAATCAGATGATTGTCATAGGTCCGTACATTCTCACTACTTGAAAAATGAGACACAAGGTTCAACACAAAAGATTTCACGTAAGCTTTAGCTGCAGGCATGTGAGCAAGCTGGATCCTTTGTACCCAAACCCCACGTGAAATGTAGTAACAGGGCTAGAGAAATGGCAGATTCTTACGAAGGTGTGCCTCACAAAGATGATTTTATCCCTTGACCTCGAGAGTTTGAGGACTGTAGTTACCTTTCCTACCATATGTCCCACAAGAGGGGAAGATTTATTTATCTATTTATCTTTCTGCGGAACCAGGGATTGAACTCAGGCCCTTGTGCTTGCCAGGGAAGCGCTTATTCCACTGAGCCATCTCCCCGGCCCATGAGGGGAAGATTTAAATAGTGCTGAATTAGAGGTATTTAGGGATCCTCGTTCACAGCTGGGATTTGTATGTGTGTGTCTTGAAAACACATACATCATTTGCTTTAAAAATGTGTTATCATTTCATTATATGTGTGGTAAAAATATAATTTTACATTTGGCTTGCAAAATGCCGTATTCAAATTCTTTAATAGCATTTCAATTATGTTAGGGCAATAGTAGCAAATGATTTACAGGCACTTGCTTTAACATTTTTTCTTTGAATTTGAAGCACTGTGATTTTTAACCCAGAGCCTTTTCACTGAGCTACATACTCAGCCATAATTTTTATTTTGAAACAGCAGCTTTTTTTTTTTTTTTTTTTTTTCTTTTGGCCAGCTCAGCTCACCATGGGGGTGGGGCTGATGCAACATGTGGTGCCAGGATCGAACCGCTGGCTCCTGTGCCTGCCTAAGCTTGCCTAAGCTCGCGATTTACAATGCTGAGCTATCTCGCAGTCCCCGAAACAGTAGCTTCTAATTTAGTGTTAAGTGTTTTCTATGCAATCATTAAATAATACATTTTCATAAATCTTTCTTTTAGTTTTCTGAATTTTGTTTGCTCTTCTGAGGACCATGCTTTTTCAGTTTCTTGTGTGTTTTCATCAGGATACTATTGATCCAAAAAATTCTTTGTAGAATCCTTGTGGAAATGGACACTACTCTGATTTGTAATTTCTTAAATTGTGCTCTAAAATCCTTGCCCTTACTGCATTGGCAGAACTGGGCACAAACCCCCTGAAGAGCTCTGGAATTGAAAACGGAGCCTTCCAGGGAATGAAGAGGCTCTCCTACATCCGCATTGCAGACACCAACATCACCTCCATCCCGCAAGGTGAGAACTTCCTCCAAAACATTTTTAGAACTATCAGCTTAAAGGTTCTGACATTTTTTTAAAAAGTGGTTGTTGAATTTTACATCATGACTCAAGAGGCCATTTTTAGTTCTAGTAAATTCTCCATACCTATAAGTGATTAGACGGAGCTGAGTTAACCATGAAGCCATCTGGTTTACCAAAAAGATGAAAAGACTGATGCAAATATCCTTTAAAGTTGAAGATTTACACAGAATTATTTTACATTAAGGGTCATATCACAAAGAAATAGTATAGCTATTTTACAAAGAATGTTTTACTTCTCTATAAAGAAAAAACAATGTAAGTACTTCTGAAATTGAGCCAACATTTTATGTTAAATTTTCCTTCCCTTAAAGAACTGTTTTCCATTTTTGGACATTTCAGTCACTAATGTTTGAATTTCTTCTATTTAATAGTGTTGGTTGTAGATTTGAAGTCTATTGTGCTTAATTTCAAGTTGTTAATAATTGAGCCCAAGATCTTTCTTCCTCAATGTCTTTATCAGAAATGTGAGAAGAACATCCCCCTCACTGGGTTTTTAAAAAAATTAAATAGTTAATTGGAAGAATATCCTACATGTAGATTGTAGATTATATTTCCTCCTATTCATCATTAAAATGTTTGGAACGCTCACTGGGCTTAGATAATGAACAGAACATTTGCCATGTGAAATGATGGAGAGGCTTCCTGCTGCTAGGAGCAAGGCAGCGGAGAACACTCAGTCATGGTGCTGACAGATGCCCAGTCGAGGAGCTTAAGACAGTCTGTGAATCGGAAAAGGCCCTCATTGCAGACAAAGTACCTATCACTTGAACATTTTCTGTACTCCTCCCTTGTAGTCTCACAAAATCTCCTCCACATCCTTGAGTTTTAACCTGGGTCTGTCCCTTCCTCAATCTCCTCAACACAGACTCCTGCTTCTTGGATTGGAAATGAGATGTACGTGCTTATTCATGGAAAAGGTGTTTTCCTCTACTGTAACACTGCAGAAGCATCAGTCCCTGAGAGTACCTGTCCCACAGGATGTTGTTTTACTGCCCCAACCTTAATCATTGTCTTTATATGTGAGGCATTCTTTTGGTCCTCTAAAAATAAATACAGCATTGGACAAATTATGATTAAATGGATAGTCAGACTGATAGATGTTGGCTTATAATATGGAAGGCATTTTCATTTTGTTATGCAACAAATATTAATTTAAATGTTTTATTACATATTATAATGTTTTACATATTATATTTTATGATATGTATATAATATTAGGTAAGTGTGTAATGTTATACATATATATTCACATTTATATATACTTCATATACACAGATTTAACTACCTGTGAATTAAAAATATTTGAAATAAGTTGCATCCGTATAGAATATGGAGTCCTTCTCTAAACAATACACTGCAACAACTTTCTATATATCATTTATTTCTATCAGAAATTCTAAATAATCTAAATATGATTACAAAACACAGGAGGGTGTATATGTGTATAGGTTGCCTGATAATATGACATCTTTTCATATAATGAGCCTGAATATTGGCACACTGTGGTACTTGTGCAAGCCTTGAGTCAATCTTCATAGATTCTGAGGGCTAAGATACATTTATAGTATATATACATATATAAATACATATATAGTATGCATTTATAGTATACTATAAATGTATCTACATATATATGTATATGCACAGAGAAGTATATATGTATATATCAATAACATAGAACTGAAGTAATATGCATGTGTGTGTGTGTGTGTGTGTGTGTGTGTGTGTGTAACTATGCTATCCCTTGTAATGCATCCTCAAACTATCCCTCAGATAAGGATTTTATCACTGAGCAATCTGTTTCTCTAATTTTCTTTTGTGCTCTGTGTATCCTAGTAACTCCTTTCCCATTATTTCTGACATACTTAATTAACTCCGTCATAAGAACGTTAACACTGCTATAACTACCATTTATAAGCACCTACTTAGCTCCAGTTGTCATGTAAAATACTTTTCCTGATTTCAAAATGTCCCTTTCTCATAGTGTCATGTCCTAAAAATGATAAAAATTGATACTCAATGAGGGCAAGTGGTAGGAAGCTGCAGTGCTGAGACCGTGCATGGCTGAGGTCAGGCCTGTGCACAGTCCTCCTTCCCACGTGCCTTTTTGCTTATCTGACAAGCGAGTGGCTGGCTCTTAAGCTAGGGCTTGTCTACCTGCACAGAACCGTCGTCCTTCTCTCCCACCCCCATGGGAATGGAAAGGAAAGAATAAATCATAGTTTTGAACTAGACCAACTTAATGGGAGGCATAGCTTAATTGTTCTTTTCCTTTAAACTAAGTGTTCGTATCTTTAAAGCATCATTCAAAAATAAATACAGCATTGGAAGGTTTTGTTAATTATAAAATGGAAGTTTAAAATACATCTATGTTCCAGAATTATTTTGAGGATCATTGGATGTAAATAAGGATTTCATTATATGTACACGACCTATATTAAAGTACTCCTTGCATATTTTATCTTTCAAAAAAGGAACGAGAAGAGGGAACTTGCTGTTAGTTCAGTTGTTCAAGCGGTTGCATGGGCAAACCCAGTCAGGTGCGGGAGACCGTGGTTCGATCCCCAGCTCCACATGCCATACCAGACCTGCTTTGAAGGCAACCTGAGCTAGCCGAAAAAGAAAAAAAAAATCCTTCGAAAAAGGAAAAGAAGAAAAATATATAAAAATAACTAGTGAATAGTTTCTTTAGCAAAATACTATTGCAGCTTAGAGTAATGAAGCTATAGATAAATCTACCTTTCTGTATGCTACTGGACAGAGAAAATATTGTTCCTCAGTCAAACTTTTACCTAGTTATAACTTTACATTTTGGAAACTGATATTTCAGAAAGAAGGACTTAGAAACTAGTAATTTGCTTTTTTGGGGGGAAGGGTCTACAGGGTGCTCAGGATCTCACTACTAGACCAGACTCATAGCGATCTGCCTGCTTACAGCCTCCCAAGAGTTAGGATTACAGGTGCACGCCACCATGCCCAGGACCAATTTCCATCTCAGTGTGCCCCGGAGGCAGAGCCAGCATGGTAGTCCCAGGGATCGAACCCCTGGCCCCTGCACCTGATTGCAGGCACTTTAATCCGCTGAGCTATTTGGTCGGCCTGAAACTAGTAAAGATTGATAAATGTGATGATAATTGGCATATTGAAGACAATGCATTTAAAAGATTTTCCATGATGAAATGGAAGAAAAAATATGCATGCAATTTGCTGTATTATATACAACTATGCTTCACAATAGGAGTGTTTTAAAATTCATTTTCATTTATTAGGTGAATACAATTGCTGAAATGATTTATGCTTCAAATGGTTTTGGTTGTCTAAAATTTATTTATAAGAAAATTGCGACTGTCATTTCATTTTTTGAGTAGAAAGCTTGCTATTTTAACTTCTTTTGTCTATCTGAGAACAGAGTGCATTTCTTACTGGAGAGAGATAATCTATTAAATGTGTCACTTCAAGTTACTTTGGCCCTACCTAGGAATTTTAATAATTTATGCATTGAGGGAATAAGTGGACTTGATTAGGAAAAGAGCTAAGATTGTTTTATACACTGTTCATATTTAGTAAGTAGAGGTTTATTTTCCTAACATTTTTTGCAAAAAACTTACTACTGTAGAGTTACTAATTTTTATTTTAAAATAGCCAAAATGACTTCCGTAAATTTAGTATAATTCAGTGAAATATGCTCAATATTTCACACCAAATGTGACCTTTGTTTTCCAACTCTGTATCTTTATAAAACATAAATGAAAGTTTCCACCAGTCAGGTTTTAGTTCTATACATATTTGCCTTGCTATTTTCTTTGTAGTCGTTGCTATGCTTGTAAGTGGAACAATGTGTGTTTGAAAAGTGATATAAAATCATAATGTATCCACACATGGGGGAAGGAAATGAAAATAAAATCTTTAACTTTTATATTTATATTACTAAATCATTAGGAATCCCAGCTGTTTACAGCGTCCCATCCTGAGGCTTAGTGGGCATGCTGGATTTAAATTCATTTCCCCAGGTGTTCGACATATGGCCATCATTTGATTGCAGGCTGTGGACTCTTACATAAGGATGCTGTCTTGATTTTACAGGTCCAGCTGAGCTCCAGCTCTTTCTACTCAGTCCCATGACAGACGTATCTGATGACTTTTGAAAAAGCAGAATAGTCTAAGGCCACCATAGCATCGCAGTGTTAGTAACTCATGATTCCTATGAGCGAAATGCCTGGTTGAGTTGGCACATTCGTTTAACTTATGTTCATAACTGTTTCATGATATTTAAGTACCTAATTTTATTGCATGATTCATCAACGCAGGGTTACCCCTTTAAGAATGGTGGAAATTGACAATGAGACTTGGTTTCTTCCTTCGGTTTTACTCCTGCTGGGACATAAATCTGTTAAATGGTGAAAATAGTTTACGATTTGCTTTTAAACACAAACATGACTGTAAAAAGAATAAATACAAAAATGATTCTTTGAAATTCTGTGTGTTTGGGAAGGTGGTGGCACATGTCCCTGCATGTCTTTGCTTACCCTGTGGGCATGTGTTTCTCTATCACATGACGTCTTGTACTTCCACCTTACAGGTCTTCCCTCTTCCCTTACTGAGCTACACCTTGATGGAAACAAAATCAGCAGAGTCGATGCATCTAGCCTGAAAGGACTGAATAATTTGGCTAAGTAATAATACTATTTTGTGAATTTCTATCAGAACAATGGCTAGTTATACAGGCACCTACATGCTCATAGTTAGGAACAGGATCTTTTTTTTATTTCCAGCAATCATTACTGTTTATAATAGTCCCAAAGTTCAATTTACTTGAAAGTTTCTTGAAAAGTCGATGCAGGAATGTAGCTACAGCAAACCCAATATTTTGAGAATATCATATTGTTTTTAGAACGGAAGTACAAGGTTTTTGATCCAATAAGATTTCAAATTAATATGTTAATTTAATATGATGCTCACTTAGCATAAAACAGAAGCTGAGAAAATCTATATCACAGTCCCTCAAATTTGAAAATAGTTTAAAATTAAGACTAGCAGAATATAAAAATATGGGATAGCCCACAAATTAATATCAGAATGAACTTCTCAAACCTCTTCTCTGAAGAGTGCAAGGTGAAACAGAGGCACATTTATTATGACCTAAAAAATACAAGTTTGCTTTGTTTTGTTTTCATGGCCCTTCCTAATATTTCCTTTTTAGAAATGACCCCTTGTGTCTACTTTCTTGTCTAGTGCCAATCTCTCTGTATTTTCAGTCTGGCTAAGTAATGAAAAGTGGAAAACAATGGCATAATTTTTCAACTCAAAGAATACTCTGTTCTTGACTATATGTATATTACTGAATGTTATTACACAGAATGTTCCTACTTATGATGATGTTGAGTTGACTTTCTCCTGGATTTTTTCATAAATTTTGTGAGTCATAAATAAACATAGAGTATGTTTTGCATATTTGAGAAATAGTAACACCAAAAGGTTGTGCATAGTGTGGCTTATCCAAGCTCTATGAATAGTCCTTAGTGACCTAGTGGATAGCAAGACCTGAAGAGGCCAGGTTGACTATAGCTGCCGTAAGTCACTATTGAGTCTCATATGATAAGAAATGTTTCTTGCTATGATCTCAGCACTTGAG